GGAGGGAGGGAGGGAGGGAAGGAGGTATAGGAAGGAGTGGTTGGAATCTTAGGTGAGGGTCTAAATGACCCTCCCCAGCTCTTTATAAGGAAACACCAGTAGATCTGACCTTGAAGGTATCATGTGGGTATTCACAACTGCTCTGGTGAAGATGACAAACGCTGCTATATTCAGTGACAGTGTCCCACAACACCCATGACATCTGCAAGCCAAATAAACTCTTTCCTCCCCGTAGTTGGTTTTGGTCAGTGTTTATCACAGCAACAAAAGCTAATTAGGGGCTAGAGAGATGGCTCAGCAGTTAAGAGGACTGACTGCTCTTGCAGAGGACCCAGGTTCAGTTCCCAGCACTCACATGGTGGCAAACTCCATTCATAATTATAGTTCCAGGGGATCCAGCACCCTCCTCTGACTTCTGTGAGCATTGCATGACACCAGGCACACTTGCATACATGCAGGCAAAACACTCATACACATAAAATAAAAATAGTAATTTTTTTTAAAGCTAACTAATGGGGCTGGAGAGTTAGCTCAGTGGTTAAGAGCACTGACTGCTCTTGCAGAGGACCCAAGTCTGATTCCCAGCACCCACATGGCGGCTAAAAACCATCTGTAACTCCAGTTCCAAGGGAATCCAATACTCTCTTCTGAACTCCATGGGCATTGTATGACATGGGTGCACTTATATACATGCAGGCAATACATTCATATACATAAAATACATAAATTTCTTAAAAATAAAGCTAAAACGACCCACAAAGAGGGCAAACAGTTAACAACAGGCAGAATACTTGCTTCATGTCAGGCCCTTTGCTAAGAGCATCATCATCCATTATTTCAGCACTCACATCAGCCCCTGTGAGGTTCCATCCGTTTTTATCATCTGTGTCCTAAGGATGAGAAAAAAGGAAGGGATGCAGAGGTTCAAAGTGTGATCCAGGACAAATGACAGAGCTAGGAGTCAAATCCAGATGAAATGATTCAAAATAACATTTAAACAGTTGGCAGTAATTAGGGCAAAAGCCCAATTGATGGGACATAGCCTGGGGTTTGTATGTACAGTCACAGTTAATGGTATTGCCACATGGTTGCCTTTCTGACCCATGGGATCACTATCTGAGAGGAACTGTCTGCTTCAATGTGGAGACAGTTTCTACATGTTCTAGCAAATGCTTGACTTTTCTTTAGTGATACCTTGATGTTGCCCTGTCCATCTTGCTGCTTGACTTTCCTGTGCTATAGCTTCCCCGTTGCCCACCACTGGGGTCCACTTGACATAACATTCCACCTGACAGGCCTCCCCATGACAGTTGTGTCTTTGCTTGAGGCAGAAATGGATTGTGAGATGTTGGTCAGGACTTGTGGGGTTTTGTTTCTTGAGAGTCTCATGTAAGCCAGGCTAAATAACCATGGATGACTTTGAGCATCTGAGCCCCCAGCCTCTACCTCCTGAATGCTGGGTTATAGCCGTGTGCCAGCCACCATGTGTGATTTTAGGCAGTGCTAGGGCTCAAGCCCAAGACATTATGCATGCTAAGCCAGTGCTCTACCAACTGAGCTGCACCCCCCACCCATTGATCAGAATTTGGATAACACATTGTGCTAGCTTTCTGTTACTATAATGGCATACCCAAGAATCAACTGATAAAGAGAAAAAGGATTTTTTTGCTCACAGTATTGGAGATCCTATGCATGATCAATTGGCCCTTGCCTTATGCCAATGGCCAGGCAGCACACCATGTTGGAAGCACATGGCAGAGCAAAACCATGCACATCACAAGCCAGGGAGCAGGGAGCAAGAAGAAGGTCCTGGAGCTCCACATTCTCCTTCAAGGACACTCCACCAACCCAAGGTCTTCCCATTAGATCCTGCCTCCAAAAGCTTCCACCAGCTTCCACCAGCACCACCATGGGAACCAAGCCTGTAACATGAGGGCTGCCATCCTCTTTGGCAATGACGGATCTACATGATGAAGCCAAGAGCCCTTTCTCTGGCTTTTAGGCCCTTTCCAGTCTGCCTTCCTTTCTTCTCTTCCTTCCTCTGTGTCTTGTCTTTGCAGGCAGTACCCTCCAGCCCAACAGAACCACCCTGAGTCCCCTGTACCACCACCTCCTTCAAGGCCTCGATGCATATGTTCCTGCTTTCTTTTTTAGAAAGCAATCCTTGAGCTCCTTTCCTCTGCATATTTAAGTTCGGCTTGTTTTTCCAAACTTGGCTGCGTGACACCTCTCCTAGGCTTTCAGCTCACTGATAGGCCCAAATGAGAAGTAATTGATCCCAGCTCTCAGATTTCAGAGTATTCATCTGTTCCTCATTTTATGGTAAATTAAGGCAGACTTAATTAGGACATTCTTAACCCACATATATTTAATTTTATACATGCCTGTCTCCTCCACTATTTTAAGTGCCCTGGGAGCAGATTCCCTATTTTATACTTGTACTTCTCCATGCTTAGTATACTCTACTCAGCCCTAGCACATGGTGAACTTAGAGATGGTCCTCAGTGCGTACATGATTGGACAGCAAGGGCACACAGTTGTTACTATATACTTTGCCAGTACCCGTCTTCTTTCTGGAAGGCCATTCTGTTGAACTTATCCCTGGAGAGACATCCTGGATAGGTGAAGAAGACATATAGTTCCTGAATTTAGTCAGTAAAGGGAGAAAGCATAGGGACTGATACATGGCACAGCTTGATCCCATAGCATGTTAATCATGCAGTCAGTTTGTAAATCAGGCCTTGGTGGACAGTGTAGTGGTTAAGAGCAAGACTCTGGAGTCAAAGTTATCTAATTTTGAAGTCCACCTTTGGCAGGTGTGGTGGCATGTACCTGTTGTCTCAACTTCTTGGGAGACTGAGCAAGAGGATCACAAGTTGAAGGCTAGCCTTGACAGCTTAGGGAGATACTGTCACAAAAATGAAAATTAGAAAAAAAATTTATTTATTATTTTTATTTTATATGCGTGTATTGCCTGTGTGTTGATAAGCGCACCCGTGTCGTGCAATGCTCTTGGAAGACAGAAGAGGTTGTTGGATCCCCTGGAACTGGAGTTACAGACAGTTGTTAGCTGCCATGTGGGTTCTGGGATTCGAACCCTGGTCTCCTGCAAGAACAGTCAGTGTTCTTAACCGCTGAGCCATCTCTCCAGCCCCCCAAAAATGAAAATTTAAAAATGGTTGA